GCTCTCCTCTCTCGTTCTTTTCCCCTCCCTTTTCTCTTTGCTGTGTTCCCTGCGCGAGCGCGGTCCGCACTCGTCTCCGAACCCAATGCTCACGCTCCGCTCTGCGCCGCGCGCTGGTGCCTCTCCTCTCTCGTGTACCCTTTGCCCCTTCATCATTGCACCCAGGTTCTCATTCCTCACCGTACGCAGATCATCCAGGTTCGGTAGCCGGTGCGGACCACGCGTCACAGGATTTTCTCTCTCCGCCGCGCCACATGCCGATGTCGGAAGCCAAGCGCCCGATACTTATTTGCGATCTACTATTCACAATTCTGTATTGCTTCCCACATTTTTAGCCATAATTTATTAATTGTTTCAAAATATTTTAGGGTGTTCGGCGAACACTGCGAACCTATGGACGCCACGCCACTGAATCACGTATCTTGTTTGCGATGTTTCAAAATCTCCGCTTTGGACACTGTTTTCTTTTCTTTTTTTTTTTTAAAAAAAAAGCGAACGAAGCAACATGATTGTTTTAATTTTTTGCCTAATGTTCTTCCCGCAGAGGAAAAATATCACGGAAGGTTTCAAGAGTTGACGTTCAGTTGATTTCCATTCAAAGAATAAAGTATGTCAGTAAAGTATGTCACTGAGATACGTGGTTTAGGAGATTCATTTTAACGTCGATATGCAATTGTGTAGGACTGGTATATTGTGTTAGGTAGGGAAGCGTACTCCATAAAAGGATTGAGAGAGATCGAGACAAAGTCGGTGGTGTTTGGCGCAATGCGTGAAGTATTTACGCAGTCTTGTAGGCGCTATGCGTTTCACGCTGACCGCACTGTGTTTGACGCAATGCGTGAAGTATTCATGCATTCTTGTAGGCGCTATCCGTTTCACGCTGACCACAATAACCGCACTATGTTTGATGCAATGCGTGAAGTATTCGTGCAGTCTTGTAGGCGCTAATACGTGTTACATGCCGATTGCCGCGCCGAGGGTTTCTCCTTTCCATCTCAAGTCCTCGTCATCATTTCTCCCCAAGTCGCGCCGTTCCAGGCCAAATTGTGTGTTTGGTTTCTCTCTTAACTCGACTAATTGAAGGTACTGTCTCTTGTATCACTGAAAGACGACATAATTAGAAATTACTATACTCTCAGGAAATGAGAGATTTTGAAGCCTTTTCTCGTTTGTAATTTTTTTTCTAAATCCGATTTTTTTTATACCTACATTTAAAAAAATTGCAAAATTTGCCGCCCCCTAAATTTGCCGCCATGGGCCGCGGCCAATGTGGCCACCCCCTTAATCCGGCCCTGGACCATATACAGGATTTTAGAACCCATGGCAAACTCTCACTGTCTTTCAGGGATTCTTAGACCACAGTCTGAAAACTGCTGATTTAACACCTCTAATATCGATGTCTCAGTACTTTTCCCGTAACTCATATTATGTTTTTCTGTTTGTCCATATTCATGGATGGTGAGACTTACCTAGTTGTCTTTTGCTTTTCCGTCTCTAAGTCCCGATAAGTTTGTTGGAGTTTGTCTGTTAAAATCTCCAAATTCTTTGTTAGCTTATAATCTGCTTCAAACTGTTCAGACATGAGGACGAGGTCTCTAGTTGCGTCATGCAGAGGAATATCACTAATGTACAAGCCCCTCCTAAAAAGAAAGAAAGAAAAAAAAAAAAAAAATATGTTAAGTCAGTACACTAATGGAACACTGATTACGCATCCCAGTTTTACATGGTGAATAATAGGAACCCGAGACTTTTTTTCGGTAACTTAACTTGTTTTTTTCTCTCTCAAGTCGCTCGTCTCGTCGCCAAACTTTCAACTTATTTTCTAGCATTGGCAGATCCAGCAATTAGGTTTCCTGCATTTAAACCTATGCAAAAGTATCGATTCTTGGAGGGGGCAGGTGCTCCGACAAGAATCGATTACTTAACATAGGTTTAAACGGAGAAAAACCGGTGTTGCCAAATTTCTAGATCCGCTTCTGATTTCTATACACAAAAAATCCGCACGTCCATATTTTCATGCATCCGATATTACAAAAAGAGAAAGTTTGGCTCACATGGCCCGTAAAACTTTTCGTTTCGTGCAACCGAACTTTTTGGTCAAAGCAAATAATCCTCAGCACCAATGACCAAAAATCTTGTCAGTCACATCGAGACTCGGATTTTCTACCGAAGACTATGGTTATCGAGACTGAGTTTTAGTTTCTATGACCTACAAATTTGATTTTCTGAACCAGAAACATTCGTGGCCTGCATGATTCGAGGTTCGGTTGTTGGAACAGAAATTCCTGTCTTCGTGAACATTCTTCAATTATACGAATACATAGTTTGTATCTTCTTTACTTTTGCCCGATGAGGGAAGTTTTAGACAAATTAATGTAAAAATAAAACCCCAAAAAACACGAAGTGCTCGTCAAGCGACATCGTTACTGCGAAGAATTGTTCAGGCATCGCAAGTATTCAAGAAAATTGGATGAATCTATCTTTTGTTTCCTCTGATATTTTTTTGGGTTAAAAATTGACGAACACCTCATTCGCATACCAATTGGTAATGCCATTTTGGAAATGATTTGAATTAATTTAAAGTCTCTCAAGAAGTCTAAACCCTTTTTATTTTCGAAAATATGTTTGAGTTATTCAGCATCCGTGCACTCGAAATGGAGCTTCAGAGAAAGGGGGCAAAACTCACCTTGTTAAATCATCCAAGTTTAGCACACTCGGATAACAGAGGAAGATCATGAGGTCCGATTCAGGAATGTATAGCATTTGACCCTGAAACGAAGTAAAAAATATAGTTGAAGTGCTCAATATTTGCCTCATATCATGCATGATATTTTGATGACAACACTTATAGCGCTCGAATTCTCACTCTGTTCAGTGGCTCCTTCAGTTCAAATATTTGTTACTCCCAACTGAGTGTTGCGAAAACAAATCATTGGGGACGAAGCTAAAATTGAAAAAGTGTGGAGTACTGTTTTCTAACTTCCTTAACAAACAAATATTAAATGACGGCACGTGTTGTTCCAATGTAAATCCGGTGCACTTAAAATGTTTTGACAACTGTCCGGTCTGAAATATACCTTGAAAATTGTTACCTATACGTCGCAGATAACTTTCGAGGTACATAAAAATGATTAAACTACGTTTATTTCCAACCTCTTTTCCCCCAAAACCGCATCCCATATCAATGAGAGTGTTTAATATCGTATTAATTACATTTTATCTCTCATGTGGTGCTCGTGTAGACGGACTGGCTTTACGCAACCAATCAACAGACGAATCCTTACTGATCCAGGTATGCGAGTACACGTTAAATCATGCAAATCTCCGATTATCCTACATAATCAACCTGGGTCACGATTCATGCTGCACTCAACTTGTACAATACTTGCACAATAACGCAATAACCACCATTATCGCGAGTTTGGAGGACACTAGCCTCTATGCGACCAACGAACTCAGTAAAAATATGGTTTTTATCGTCAACGACTGTAGCGACATAGTGAATTTCATACTAGGCTCGATGGTCAGTTTCTGGGACTCTGATAAAAATTTTACCAACCATCTATACGAATATCCACCGTCGCGTAACAATGTAACCAGCCGCGGAGGTTTCTACCAAAGATCAGCCTTCCCGAACTTTTGCATCCTTAACGATGCCAAAACGGGGGCCAGCGTGCGAGATTTCAATAGGCCTTGCGATGTAACAATCAAAACGACGCTCCAAGATATTGCGGACGGTAGCATATTAAAGGGAAAATTACTTGATTTCACAGGCGAAGCCTATAATAAAGTTTGGAATCCAGATAACTATTTAATTTTCGTTGTTTCACCCAGAGTGGAAGATGACGAGTCGAAAATGAGACGGCAGCCTCCAACCTGTAATTTATTTTTCATCTTCCGATTGATATGGAGAATTTTTAAGGGGCGCAAGACGATGATCTGCTTTCCTGTAGAATGTTACTGGTACGACTCGTTTTTCAACAAAACGCATGTTTTCACAGGCTCACAAGGAGAGGAGTTTTTCGAATTTGAATGGCCATCGATGAACCGAAAAAATTTTCATTACTATACCGATATTTACAATTATAATAATGATCAGCAGCAGGTCCAATTGAGGTCGGGCTACTTACAATGGGAAGCACCCGTCCACACAGCGATCAAAGTTCTAGGCCAAAAACGAACCGGAACCATACAGCAAACTCCAGTTACACCGGGGGATCTTGCTATGACCGAGCAAAAATTTGCGATCAAATATGACATGGTAATACTCCTCATCGATGCTAGCTCCCGCCTGAGAAGTACTAATTACGAAAACTACGACCACCTAGCCGTTACCGATACTGGGTCTCTATGCTTTCACATCCCACGATCAGGTTTCAAGCCACAATACTTGACAGTATTCAAATGTTTCAGTCAGAAAGTCTGGGTGTGTTTCTTGGCTACGATTGCAACTTTTCTCCTCATGCACCACTTCCATAAATCGTTCCAGTCGCGACATTTGGCGCACCTGTACTCCGAGTTTGAGCTTGTCCAGTACGAGAGTCTATCAACAGCCCTGACTATCTATAGATATTTTCTCTGTGTGGCTCAGCCACGGTTGTTGCTCGGTAAGCTGCTGTCCGGGAAGATCCTGTTCGGTACTTTCGTGTTCGCAGCTCTCATTTTGACTACACTCTTGCAGAGCGGGATGGTTACCTTCCTGAATACACGAATCCGTTACGCTGACATCAATACGTTAGAGCACCTCGCCGCGTCAGACACGCTCGTGCAGTCACCAAATCTGCGTTTGGACGAGGACTTCTGCGGGAGAGAAGAGCAGCTGCACTGGCTACAAAAGCGCCTCGTCGGAAGCTTTCATTACAGCTATAATGTCTACATGAGCGAGATCCAGTACGTCGTCAATTCCAGTTTTTCAAACGTATCAGATTGTGAGATCTGCGACAGGCTCGAACAATTTGAGGAGTTCACAGTCGCAGGATTGTCGGCGATGAAGAATCTCGAGGCGAGCATGACCTCTGACGCTTTCATGGGGATCACCTCAGCGCAGCTGTCGAGACGCAACTGGGGTTTCATGGAATTCCGTCGGATCTTCGAATATCACACAACTCGGGAATGTTTAGCCAGCTACCCGTTGATGTACTTCATGCCGAGACACATGTTTGCGCGCGACGACCTCAACGACGTCCTGAGCCGGTCCTTTGAGGTCGGGTTAGTGGATAAAGAATATGAAGAGATCCGATATTTTACGCTGATGTTACAAATTGAGGTCAAGGAGGAGGTCGTGATGCGGAGACCTTTTTCCATGAGAGATTTGCGAATTGCGTTCATTTGTTTGGGCGCCGGCTATCTTGTGAGTTTTATTGTTTTCCTCGTTGAACTTGCATTGCGGCTGAATTATTGAATAAATAAAATTGATTATCTGTCCACCCATTGGTATCTGTTTATTTAGCCTCGGCCCATTTAGCCACGTGGCGAACTGCAACAAAACTTGTTGCGAATTGCCACAAACTCTAGGTGCTGTGTGGCTAAATGCAACAAAAATTGTCGCAGTTAGCCACAGTCTTTGGAATAGCCTACCAAATTCAGCAAAAAAAATGGTCATTTATCCTCCCATTTTTATTTTACTGCAGTCTAAGTAATTTTATTGAAGATCTGGAATAGATCAAAAAGAATAAACAACCATTCGTATTGCAACCAATTTTTACTTTAATAATTTTACCATCCCCCACTTGTGACCAATGCAATACTGATTCTACTTTACACTGAAATACATGCAAATCTACTAATAGGAAAGTATTCGGAGGAATTATTGACCACATGCGTCCAGCTCTCCTTCCTTAGGTTACGTCATGTTAGGTAAGGTTTGGTTAGGTTAGGTTAGGTCATGTTAGGTTAGGTTAGGTAAGGTTAGGTAAGGTTAGGTTAGTTTATAAGTTCAGGATACAATATGAAAAAATCTTTTTTCGTTGATCGTTAGTTTAGATAGTAGTGAGGTCCTATAAGAGGCTCATTTTGACCTTGATTGCTGATAAAAATGTGCATAGAAGACGCCATAGATCCAAGCAGTTGGCATTGAAAAATAAGGAAAACCGTGTGACATTTTCGTGGACAAACAACTGAAGCACTTATAACGATGGTGCTTACGTTGTTCCCATTTCAGCTTACCTGATAAATTATCTCTCCTTACAATCCATATAACTATGCTCTAACAGTATTCCTGCTTTGAAGAGAAGTTTTAGTTGCAGTTTCCGTTAGTTTCTGAATTTTTGACCGTCCATCTCAATGAGACTAATCAGTACCGTGTTACTTACATTCTATTTTTCACACAAAGTCACAGTTGACCGTCTTACTCTAATCAACCAACCAATAGACGAATCTTTCCTAGTCCAGGTATGCCAAAATACATTAAATCATGCAAAACTCAGCTTGTCGTATATAGTTAACCTGAGTCGAGATACATGCTGTACTCAACTTTCCCAATACTTGCACAACAACGGCATTAGCACAATTTCCGTAAGTTTCGTTGATACTACCCGCTACGCAACTAACGACCTTAACAAGAATATGGTTTTTATTTATAACGATTGCAGTGACATAGTGAACTTCATCTTGGGCTCAATGAACAGTTACTGGGATTTTGATCAAAGTTTTACCGAACATTTGATTGAACATTCAGTAACCCGAGATCTTGTATTCAACCCTAAAATTCCAAATATTTGCGTGGTTTATGATGATGAAACCGGGGCCACCGTGAGAGATTTTAAAAGGCCCTGTGATGCAACAATTCAAGTGACACTCAAAGATATTGCAGACGGCAGTATCATAGAGAATAAACAACTGCTCAATTTCACAGCTTCGGCGTACAATCAAATTTGGAATCCAGATAACTATTTAATATTTGTAGTGCTGCCTCATGCTAATGATACCAATCCATCAGGAGAGTGGACATCAAATTGTAACCTATTTTTCACGTTCCGTTTGATTTGGCGCATTTTCAAAGGACGCAAAACCGTGATCTGCTCTTTGAAAGAATGTTTTTGGTACGACGCGTTCCTTAACGAGACCCATGTCTACAAAGGTTCGCGAGGCGAGGAATACTTTGATTTTTCATGGGCATCGAAGAATAAGAAAAATTTAAATTATTACGTGCTGGAGTCGGGAGGTGGTGGCGATCTGCTTGAGTATCGAACCGGGTACGACCTTTGGCAGTTCCCTGTGTATAGTAGCCTTGGATTCTTTTGTGAACAACGAGCCGTAGCGTTACGTCCACCAACCATGATGCCGATTGACGAACTCGAGATGAATGAACGAGAAATCGTCGTGAAATATGATCTCGCTTTATTATTCCTCGATGCGTTGTATCGCTTGAGGAGCAAGATTGACCATAACTACGACTTCACTATCGTCACAGATTTCGGATCGTTTTGCTTCTTCGTGCCTCGCAAAGGTTTCAAACCACAGTACTTAACGGTCTTCAAATGCTTCAGCCCAAAAGTCTGGGTGTGTTTCTTGGTCACGATTGGCACGTTTCTCCTCCTACATCGCTTTCACAAGTCGTTCCAGTTGCAACGCATGGCGCGATTATATTCTGAGTACGATCTTATCCAGTATGAGAGTCTTTCAACCGCTTTGACTATCTACAGATACTTCCTGTGTGTGTCACAACCACGACTGCTGTTGGGTAAACTACCTTCCGGAAAGATCTTGTTCGGCACCTTCGTGTTTGCGGCCCTCGTTCTGACCACACTTCTGCAAAGTGGAATGGTGACTCTCCTGAGCAAGCGCGTTCGCTACACCGATATCGATACGATTCAACAACTTGCCGAATCGGATCTTTTGATCCAGTCGTCAAATCTCGCCGTGGATTCAGAGTTTTTCGGTCGCGAGGAACAGTTCGAGTGGATTCAAGATCGGTTTGTCTATACGTATGCTTTCAGTTTTGATGTAATCACGGATGGTTTCGATTATCATCTGAACAACTCTTTGAACTCTGATAATATTCCAGAGTGCCTTTATTGCGAGACTGTCCGTGAAATAGAAAAGTTAAAACCAAAGGGAACAACCATACTCGATAGTATTGAGAAGATCATGACATCGGACGCTTTCCTGGTCATGACTCCGTCGACGGTGGCGAAAAAAAATTGGAACATCATCGAATCGGGGCGGGTTTTCGAATATCACGCTGTCCAGGAATGTTTGGCCAATTTCCCGTTGATGTTTTTATTTCCAAAGCATATGTTCGCGCGCGATGAGTTTAACTCCATGTTGAGTCGGTCGTTTGAGTACGGATTTGTGGCCAAGGTGGTAAAGGAAAGCATGCCTGCAATCGATTCTCTAAAAGACCCCGTCGAGGAGGTCATTGTACTTCGGAGACCTTTTAAAATGAAAGATTTGGGTATCGCGTTCATTTGTCTTGGTGCTGGACTTTGTGTTAGTTTCATTGTTTTCCTGTTGGAACTTACCTGTCAGTTATACTAATTGAAGGAGATTTGAAGACATGACACACTCAATTCCCACCAATGTTTATCAGACTTCTTATGTTATTTAAATGGTTTTCTGTATTACACACTATATCTAAAATAGATCCATTATTTCATCACATTCGGAGAACTGATTGAAAAATATTAAAAAGTACAATAATGAAAAACAAATCAACAAAAATACGATTTACCGAGTTGAGAATGTGAGCACTATATTAAAAGTATAATATTAATATGATGTTCACATGATCATCAGAGGTACTACAAGATCTTCAATGATCATCACTACAAATTTACTGGATCGTGACATGACCCAAGTTTGTTTCGTTATCTTGAATTTATAGTCCAGGCAAATAAGGAAAAGAGCCAGCAAAAATCCCGGGTAGCAATGTTTACATTGATTCCTATGTAATTTTTGACGCTGAACCCGAATTTCAACTTTGCACCGAAAAATTTGGTTGCCAGTTTTGGCAAAAATGGCCTAAAATCGGCCTTTTTTCCGGGTCATGGCCTGTAACTTGCCAAAAATAGATCTGACGATAAAATTAGTTATTTTCAGAAATAAAGCTCATTAAATTTCCTATAAAAAAGTTCGATACACTTTTTTGCCTAAGGCAAACTCAAGCGCGCTGGCGGGCTCCGAACTTTGTAAAATGTGCGAAAATTACGCATAGTGTAACATGTTGGGCTCCTTATTATTTACATCAATTCATTTCACTAAGTGTAAATTTTATCATCTTTACTTAATTTGTCCAGAAATTACTCGTTAGACGATTAACACCGGAGACATCGGGCAAAAACCGCGAAAAACACAATTTTCGCTCATTTTTCAAAGTCCGGAGCCCGCCAGCGCGCTTGATTTTGCCTTGAGCAAAAAAACGTATAGGAACTTATGTATAGGAAATTTAACGAGTTTTATTTCTGGAAATAACTAATTTTATCGTCAGATCAATTTTTGGCAAGTTACAGGCCGTAATCCGGAAAAAAGGCCGATTTTTTTTTAGGCCATTTATGCCAAATTTGGCAACTTTCCGGTCTGAATTTTTTGGTGCAAAGTTGAAATTCGGATTCAGCGTCAAAAATAACATAGGAATCAATGTAAACATTGCTACCCGGGATTTTTGCAGGCTATGGCCTTTTTTTGGCTTATTTACCTGGACTATTACATGTCAGAATCAGCGAGTTACCAAATAAAGAAAAACCTCAATGGGGACGCATCATAATCCGGCAACATTACTGTCACGATAATTTTAGATCTTTTCCGCGATTTCGAATCACGGTAGGTTTGGCGTAAAATACCCCCATGGATCCTGTTTGATAGATTCTTGTGAAACTCGATATCAGGAAGTGTTTTTTGACACCAGTTAAAATAATTTCAAAAACTTTATGTTAGCCCGAAATTTCCTCCTAGGCTCCTCGTAATATTAATCTATGAAAATTATTCCTCATTTTGCATCCGATGTATGCAACGTAAACAGCACTCGAAGTCAACACATCAAGACTCTACTCTCCGCAGTAGGCCGCGGCCGGACCAATATGAAACGCCTTCAATTGGGCGTGATACTGTGCAACACACCGAAGCTGATATAGTTGTATTCTTAGGTTCGAACCTAACTCAAGTTAATTGCTCGACTAAATAAGGCATGTCAGCCTGTTAACTGTTGTATTTCAAGTTATCTCGCATATTTAATGCCCATTTTTGCCTGTGACAAAAATGCAAGAAATGCAAATGATATATAGAGATAGAATTATAATTATTCCTGTGGCCAACGAAATAAGCTCTCCTGAAGGGAAACCTGTTCGTGAAACTTTTGCAGTTTTTGAGCGCGCTCTATATGTACCGGGTGATATTTTTTGACAGGGAGTCTCAGATAAATTTTCAAATTTCCAAAATCCAAGATGGCGGAAGCCGTCTAAAATGCTATCTCGGCCCCTGTCCGATGTCCGATCCATTTTCGTGAAACTCGGTATCAGGGGATATTTTTTGATGGGAAACGGAGATTTTTGGTCAAATCTTCAAAATTCTAACCAAAGATGGAGGACGTGATTGTAGGTGCGATAATGGCTTATCCAAAATACCCGTCCTTTCAGTCAAAATATGTTTCTGCTCATTTTCAAAATTAATTTATCCTCAGTTTTTAATAAATCAGCGCCTAAATGTATTCAAAGAGATAAACATGCAGAAGAAATATATTAAATGAACATTAGTAAGTAGAGAGTTAAAAGAATGTAATTAATAATACATATTTAAGTGCTGTACTAATAAATAAGCACGTAAATATTATTGAATATATTATCCTATCTCTCTACTTACTAATGATAGGAGGGCACTTTTCAATACTAATGTGTAAAAACTACTTGTTTGTCACTCCTGCCATTGAACAACGGTAGAAAAACAGTTTTCTTCGTAAGGTATCTTTGTGGATCTTTTTTATGTATTGTCACCCACATACTAATAAAACTAGCTCTTGTCATGTTGCTATTTAACACCTTACAACTTTGGTAGGCCTCGCATGGATATCAGAATAGACAAATCCTCGAATAGATAACTACTCTTGCACAGAGGACGTACTCTAGTTCTTTCAAAATTGAAGGCGAAACAGCAATTTGCGTACCCCTCAAGTCCTTTTCATGAACTCTACCATCTCTAAAAAAATATGTCAGAAAACGCCACCTCCGTCGGTAGAATATAAGAGCACGAAACATCCTGAGAGGAAATGGCTGGAAAGAAACCAAACGTCATGGTATTTTTTAAAAATTTATCTAAACATCAACAGTATCAACTAAGTAAAAATGTCAATTTGAACGATCATGAGGCGGTGTCAATACTTACTTTCAGTCGAACGTATGAGAATTCAGGTTCAGAATGCATATTATTCGTGTGCATCACTCCAGGTTTACTCTTCAAGACGTAAACCGTGTTGATATGTGCTAAAATGTTTTCGAATGTGAGATCTAAATGTGGTCTCACCTGCAACGTAAAAATGGAGAGAAATTAACTCAAGCTACTCAGACAGGTGGCTGTTATTTAAATCCAGCGCCGGTGAAGGGTAAACTTTGTACAATATGACAACCTCGTGCTGCCATTGGAGAACGTCAAAGCTGATTTTTGCGAGTAGGTGAAATCAGTTTAAATAATTTAAATGCATGTGTAATATATATGTCCAGGAAGGCTCCTTCATCCACAATTGTTATTAATCTTAAGGAATGTTAAAAGAAACAAAAAGCAGAGTCACCAACCCGCAAAACATGTCACTGGAAAATGATACTTACTTTAACTAGCCCTCGGCTGAATGCTACATTAATTATGCTGATGTTTTACGATGAACTGAACCTTTAAAGGTGTGTCTCGGGGCTTTTATAGTTAAATTTTAACGAAACAAAATTGAATTGTTTGAGGAAGCTCGAGCGATACTATTCAAAATTATATTTTTATGTTTTGCGTTGAAAGTGATGAACCAGTTATTTTTTTAGGTGCCTACTTTTAAAAACCTGATTTTCCTGCCTGTATGAGACTTGAGACATTTCACGGCACATCACATTTACCGCTAAGTTTCTCTCTCCATGTATTCAAGCCTAGTGCGTAATACTCAACGGAATTGAAATTCCGATACCTATTTATCTTATCATATCTATAAGATAGCAAAACATCGGTAAATGAGGTTTAAAAAATGCATATATGTTCAAGCCCATGTTTAGAGTTTCTCCTATCATATTCCTGGCTATTGCGGTGTTCTATGAGTAGAAATAAGTAAGAATGAACTCCTTTTTTGACAGCAAAACATCGCATCATCTTACCGGATCCAGCACATCGGTGACTTTACACTGCGACTGTTGTACCATAGGCATAATCCTGGTTATGGCGGCTCCTGTTTGCACGACAACAAGCTGCCTGTCAAACATCAAGTGGAAAGGAAAGACTTTGCAAAATGTATCAGGGCTCACTTTAGATTCTGAAACAAATGTGATGGCACGGATGAACCTCTTGTTTGCGGAAAGAGCGAAGCCATCCTAAGTCACTCATTGGAATAATCACCTACTTATTCGAGGGACTTGTGTCATTTGCCTAGTAACAAAAGTGCAGTTCCTAAAACATTTCTTTTCTCTTCTCATAAAAAATAAACTCATAAACTTGTTCAAATAAATCCAGTGTACCGACTGAATTCTCTCATTGTAAATTACAGAGATTCATCTCAGTCCATTTTAGTTTACTTCAAGTACCCACAGCCCACATCACACAATATTTTGCTCCAGGATACCTATATCCATGGAGTTTTTCAATGTATCGAACTCGTTCCGATTGAAACATACACGGAAAAAATTAAATTGCTGATTTAACAATTCAATTGCTAAAAAAAGTGACTTCAATGTTTCAATGTAGATTTTACAACAAAAGAATGCTACTTAAACCACCCCCGTGGTTAAATTAGTTTACAATAGTGGTCGAAGTAGCATTTTTTTGGTGAAATCTACCTTGAAATATTGCGGTCACTTTATTTTAGCAATTTAATTGTTAAATCAGGAATTTAATTTTTTCCGTGTACTGATGAGATTCACTCGGGCTTAAATAAGAAAGGATCTACAGGAAGTACCTAGATACTCGTCTCCAGAACATTATTGTCTTTGCGTTCGATACTGTATTACAATTAAGCTCCGCAGCATGTTTAATCATGTTACTGAATGGTTATCCTTTCGCTGCAATTTTTATCTCTGAGATGGGGGTGGGGGGCTACATCGCGGGGTTACTTCAACTCCAAAATGTAGTAAGTTTAAAAAATATTCCATTTCTCAAAAATCGAGACCATCAGTAAATCATAAATGAAGATGATCAGATATGAACCTGGAGAGTGTTTAGCATCTCATCAATTACTCTTTCCTTTTAAACTTTTCTTCATGATAATCAAGTGATCGAGCGGCTTACCGAGAGATAAAGTCTCAACTTCGGTTATTTCTGGATTTTGAACTTTACCCCTAGAGTTTTGTTCTGTGATCAAAAACTGTACATGGTCGCTTTCTTCTTTTGTTTTGATTATTTCCACTTCCACTTCCGTGTCGTGAAGTTTACTCGCCACCGTCTAGGAAATAAACAAAACATTGATCGATAATAATCAAATCGTACATGATTAACATAAGATAGAGTTTTCACAAGAATTTGTGCAACTGTGCAACTGATATGATGATCGAACTATATTTTTTAGGTTAAACGTTTGAAAATCGGCTTAGCTGATTTTAAAATATAGTACGATAGATAAGAAAAAACTTGGTTTTTACTTACCACACTGAAAAATGACAAAATAATCCTGGTTTTTTCCATTAATCAGTTGAATCAGTAATAACACAAACACACCATGAAGTTGGCGCATCTGTGCCAGCTTATACATTTAAAGTATCCTTAAGTGCTTGTCCCTCGGTACCAAAAATATTTTTCTTAGGCTAACTTCTTCACACACTGTGCAGTTTTGTGTGCGTCCTGATTATTTTCATTTTTTCGAGTTGGTGTGTTTTCATTCTCTTTAATTCAGTTAAGAGGTTCCGTAGATCTCATTCGAATGGGAAACCCGAAAAGATATGCGATACATCACACTCTTTAAGAATACATTAATGTTGTATTATTCTAGTCAAAACTCCACACTGGGAAAAAAAATACATTGAATCTAGAGTCCAGACTCTTGGAAACATTGTCAAGAAAGAATACTCTTGATTCAATCAGATTTTTGCTTAAATCAAAAGGAAATCCGCTCATATTAAGAGGCTTGTTCTTGATTGAAGCAAAATCCGATTGAATCAAGAGTATTTTTTCTTGTCGGTGTTCCTAAGAGTCTGGACTCTAGATCCAATGTGTTTTTTTTTCCAGTGTATGCTTTAGGAAAGAGACTAGGATTTGTTTTTCATTTCCCTCCATTTTTCTACCACAGTCAATCTTTCCAATATTTTTGAATTTTATAGACGCGCAATCGCCGGATTTAAGCCCTTGAAGTACCAACCTTCACAATGCCGATCACAATATGCTCCAGTCCAGGTCTGTCGGAGTAGTAGTGAAGTATTAACGCTCCGTCCTCTGCTCGCTCCGTGCATCGGAAAGAGGGAGCTTTCATTCCGGGATAGAGTGTGCCCAAGTGATCATGAAGAGCATCTAAATTCTGAATAAAGATAGATATTTTTGTTAGTTTACAACACGCGTGTAAGCATTGCAAGAAACGTACGATTCCTTTTTTCTCGCGAGATGATCGTTAATTTTGTCAATCACGCATGATCCCAAAGACGATTCCTCTGGCAATATTATACAAGGAAAGTAAGGACAACTATGCCAAACAGACTATCGTGCATGGCATTATGACGAAACAACTCATTTGGTATGGTCATGTTCAGAGAATGGTAGGATATAGGTTGCCGAAAAAGGTCGTTGATTGGGTATGGGTTCCTCCTGGGAGAAGGCGCAGAGGGTGCCCAACTGCCCAATAAGAGGTTGAAGGGAGTGGATTAAAATAGAAATGTTAAGATGCTAAATGCCCGAAGGGTTATGGTTCGACAGAAAGCAGTGGAGATTAGGTGTCGTAGAGCGCGGGGTTGTGCTATAAAGCGACCCATGTGTGTAACTATGTGCACTATCATGTCCCAGCCGTGACCATTCAGCACTAAGTCATGAGTTCATGACACATGTAATGCTTGACAGTTCATTAAATTTCATGAATTCAAATTTTTAGTATAATATTCATACATATAATTAATATAAATATTCAGAAGTTAGGCACTAAAAGTAAGTATATTAAAAATAAAACTTAAAACCAAAGAAAATTGAATATTATTTATCCAAAAATACTTAAAAATATGGACTTCTTTTCAGATGTTCTCGTAATTTTTAGGTTCATACTCCCCACGTAGAGCGTTATCGTGAAACCCTGATACCTCTGCCAAACGTACGAGGGGCGTTCAATAAGTAAGTATCCCCCCTCTCTAAAATCCATAAGAATGGACCAATATTAAAAAACTTGGGCTCAAAATCTTTCTTAGGATATTTTGAGCTCAACAAAACAAACCACAACAAAATCGGACTATGTGCGGCCGAACGCGAGCCGTTTGAACGCGCCGAGGTGCTCGACGCTCCCGCCGAATCTGCGAGGATTTGAAGTCCGCTACAGGAGAAGAGCTTCTCTGCCAAAGCCTCAGTCGTTCATCACTGACGAAAAATCAAAGAAATTTTTGTAGAATAAGGGGCTTACCTCACTTCTCCACATAACCAGCTCGATCCAAGCAAGTCTGATACTGAGACTAAGACTAAGAGAACAGCTTTTGGATGCCTCATGCGTGGAAGTCTTTCAGCTGACCGCGGATGAAAGAGTGGACGGCTTGTTTGACCTCTTCCACTGATTCAAAATTAACTCCTCCGAGTTCAGATTTCAGATACGATAATAAATGGCAAACCAGACCACCATTTATTCCCGTTCCTGAAATCTGAACTCGGAGGAGTTAATTTTGAATCAGTGGAAGAGGTCAAACAAGCCGTCCACTCTTTCATCCGCGGTCAGCTGAAAGACTTCCACGCATGAGGCATCCAAAAGCTGTTCTCTTAGTCTTAGTCTCAGTATCAGACTTGCTTGGATCGAGCTGGTTATGTGGAGAAGTGAGGTAAGCCCCTTATTCTACAAAAATTTCTTTGATTTTTCGTCAGTGATGAACGACTGAGGCTTTGGCAGAGAAGCTCTTCTCCTGTAGCGGACTTCAAATCCTCGCAGATTCGGCGGGAGCGTCGAGCACCTCGGCGCGTTCAAACGGCTCGCGTTCGGCCGCACATAGTCCGATTTTGTTGTGGTTTGTTTTGTTGAGCTCAAAATATCCTAAGAAAGATTTTGAGCCCAAGTTTTTTAATATTGGTCCATTCTTATGGATTTTAGAGAGGGGGGATACTTACTTATTGAACGCCCCTCGTATATGTTGACGGTGAACACTCTCAAACCATGTATCCCCTTTGCAATGTTTAAAAAGCTCTCATCCCATTTTATTTTTTTAAAATGAGAGGAAATCGACATTATTTCTTAAAGTTTTCACCGAATTTTTTTTGTCTAATGCCTACTTAGATTGTCTGATAAAGATCTGTAAAGTTCTGCATGTTTTTCATGAAGGTTATACAGTATTACAACATTTGAAAATTAAACTAAATAAAATTAACGGTTTATCTTAGATTTTACATTGCAAAATTTTTCACATTTTTTTCAGGCAGAATAGTAAATAATTTTAATTTTATGTGGGATCAAGATATTTTAAGATACATTCTAAGTTAATACTAGCAAATCAGAAGTCGACCGTGAGTTGATGAACTTTCAGTGTTGATGTGCTTTTATCTACACGTTTGAAACACCATCTCGAAAATTATCGGAGGAAAGTTCGGACTTTAAATTCCAGGCATTTAAAATACACTTGCTTTGGTTTTTAGCCATGCGACTTGTAAAACGTGATTTCAATGACTATACTTTTGGCGCGAGTGCAAAGTATTCTCTGCTTATTGAACGATCCTCAAAAATACACATATCTTTCTTATATTTTGACGACGCTACAGCCAGTATGAAAATGTCCATGAAAATTTTGTAGAAAACATTAGTTGAGACGAAGTTATGCTGTGCTCAGCTTGAGCGTAATAATGTCGATGAGATACAATTGATTAGTGGTCATAACTTAATCAACCGTACAATTACTGTGTTTTTATGAAAATGTTGACCTGACCTACCTGTAAAAAATCTCGAGGGGTAGCTCCTAGCACCTGTAATATCTTATCATATCCAGAATCTTGGCAGAACTCGAAAAACATCTTCCCAAAGAGCTCTAAAATTTGATTTGCAGGAATGTCTGAAACACGAAGGCACGCAATCATGGATATGCCTCAAAATATGCTCGGTGAGAGGTTGATGATTTTCGTCATACCATTCACAAATTACCATTATTTCTTATTCACTTAAAGCAAACGCAGATGCTAAAGCAGTCATTATTTTTTTTCTTATCAGTAGAGTTTATTGTATTTTGAAAGTGTATGCCATCAATTAGTAAACAATCAGGTAATTCCAACATGTGCTATTGGCAGAGCGCGTCGTAAGAACATAATATCTGAATTATCATGTATTCAGTTTTATCCGTATCCAAGTTTCCTAACGAATTATGAGCGCCTGAAAATCTCATCAAACGCCGAATTTCTACGTCCAGTTTAAATGGAACTATCGTCCATCGAACACAACATGGAACTAGAGTAAGAGAAAGGACGCGCGTTTATGACGGCGCAGAGATACAACTATTCGTGTTTGATGGATGTCCGTGTCGCATTTGAAAAATTGAAGGCGCGATGGCGAGAGGCGCAAACTCTCAATGCTCCGCTCTATGCTGCCAATGAAACTAGTATGGTTCATCCATAAAAGAACCTATCTACACTAATAAAATGTACATTGTTTCTGAAACAAACCAGAAATATTAATTCTTAATTGCAATGTGCAGTCCACCAAATAACGCTCGTAATTTCATTCGACTTCTCAGAGTTACTTTAAACTAGTTAAAATCAAAGCATTATATTCATGAAAAATATGTTTGACCATAATATTGGTTCAATTTTACGTGGGTCCTATTTAAAATTCCCTCTAAACGGGAATGTTCTGAATGGTGGTATGATGAACCAGAAGCCCGGGTATTATGTAGATTTTTATTTCCGTCTTACGCAAAATTTCCACTGCTGCTCCTATGAGATTGTAAGTTATTTCATCCTCGTATATTTGCCGAACGAGAAACTGTCCCTCCATTACGACCTCTGCTTGTTTCCTAAAAAACACAAAGTTAAATATATTATATATCTCAGTTTCCTAACATGCTTTCAATTCGAGATTTGACTACAGATAGATTGAAGAGTTTTGGCGGATCTTCTGTTCTGCACTACGTCAACAAGAGGGATTTGAACCATCCCAGAGTCGTGTAAGATATTACAATTAGTGGCATCGCTAAAAATGAATACTTGCATGTAGCCTCATCAAAAGCTTCATTTACAGTATTTTACAAGCTTATATCACAAATAATTCTGTACCCTAATTTGATTTTTACATGCTGAAAGTATGGTAAATTAATTATATCACCTATCGAAATCCTGTGGATTTTGGGTTTATTTTATCGTGTCGCTTGTCTAGTAATGACACCGAAAATCACTCAAAGTGGTTATTAAATCTTAATATGCTGCCAACTCTTGCTTTTTCTGAATGGACGCCCGGTATTTTCCGGCATGTTCATGTCATTCTTCCGGGTTGGCACCACCTCACTTTTCCTCCATTTAAGTATGTGTAAAAAAATCGATTTCGGATAAGACAGTCTGTCGTAACTACAGAATCGATGTTTATAATGGTTTTAAATTGAGGAGCAACGGCGTTGCCAACTTATAAAAATCGCCATCGGTTTCAATAACCAGTTGGTCCTTCACAATGCCGAGTTAGTAGTAATGATTTCTCCGAAGGTCTATCTTTAGCCATCATGAAAATAATCTTAAGGAGATATTTTTCACCGTGACAAGCCATAAGTTCATGATCTCCAGGATACTTCAGCGTAACCGAGCAAAGATTTTCTGCCATATTTGTAGAAATTTATATTTTCTTATCGTATAGTGATTTAAAAAAAAAAAAAAATCGACGGCGTAAGTCCGCAGTCACATATGTCGTTTGCGGTTTCTGAAAATCTCCGCCTCTATGTTGTTTTCTAAAAAAGAACAAATCGACATCATTCCTTGAAGTTTTTGCAGAATTTTCTTCGCACAGAGAAGAAAAATCACGGCAGTCTCAAAGAATTGCCGTTGAGTAGTTTTCCCTTAAAAACATAAAGTACGGCAGGAAGTCTGCGACGTCGCAAACCGAGTTAGGTGATTGCCGACTTACACTGCGATATGATATTTCTCCAAACCTTGCCCATCGATTCTTTCTGCATATATCGACGACAGTTTTGAGGTTAGCTGATACTTACTTGATCGTCTCCCATGTCTCCTTTCCGAAAGTTTTGAGCACCAACAGCTCCAAAGCATAGTTGACGAACCCATACTGAAACAGTCAAATTTGATCATCCTTTAAGTCAAACGTAATTTGAGCTTCCCACAAAAGTTTACGTTGCAAGAAATTAGTGACAAAAGTGACGATCAAACGAATCTCGAAAAGGTCAAACTTCGGATGTTTTCTTCGTCGATGAAACATTTCATTTCCATAAGTGGAGTAAATCAATGGAAAATGAGACATTCTGTATCATCTTTTACGAAGTTTTTTTGTGCGTTTTGAGGGTTTATCACGCCATGCGTAGCGGACGTTCTTTCCGGAGATTTTTTCGACTCTTTTTTCGACGTTTTTCTTTGTTATGGTACACTTTATGCATTCATGGCACGCCTTTCTTCGACACAATTTATTCTTCCTTCTTGAAACTGTTGAACTCAATCACGTTTTTATGTTATATTTCAGTTCACGTTCAAACATTTTGCTCAAAGCTACTTAGGTACAAAGTACCCAATCACATATAACATAAACCCATTACTTTACTTAATGATAGAGTGTCATGTCAGAACAGATGATATCATCAAATCTAGGTTAGTAGTGTATATTTCTGTGATTAATTGCGTTCTTACGTCAGCGGGTTATGATGTTATCATATCTTAAATAATATAATTCAATTTTTTCCCCGTAAAAATCAAAATATTTGTACGGTGAACTCTCCCTGACGCCTGCAAGTTGAAACCAACCCCTTGTTTTTGTTGTATCCTTTATAGAAGTTTCGTAGAAAATACAAATGTTGGAACTTTTTTAAAAGACAGGAGCATAGTTTAGGAATTCTCTTTATCTCCCATCAGCCTCTAAATATTTAAATCGACATTTTTTTTGTCAATTTTAGAAAATTTTGATGGATTTTTGGAGGCCCCTTTTTCAAGATTAAGTCGAAAGGACGCCCGCGTTTGATAGTAGTAAAAAAGACAACATTTTTCATGATGCAATGCACTGCAATGATGTAAGCGTCCATCAAAAACACGAAGAAGGGAAAAATAAACAGTTAGAGACTCCATGCCTGGGAGCCAAAATGCGGAAGGTAGACTCAAAAACAAATCGAAAAATACGTCATTATTGCTTGAGCACTGAAGAGATGAAAGCGAATAAAAATGAAGTTATGACTTTGCTTAAGCTCAGTTACCTTCAAAGTGTTAAAGTGACATTATAGCGGAAGCCCTCGCATGATGGTGATGAAATCGCGGCTAAAATCGCCCTTTATTTGCGAGAACTCTCCACCGCCCGCGAAGTGACTTCATTCAAAATTAATGTCGGATGATACGGAGGGTTGACGCTCAGTAATTTAATATTCATTGAGATTCAAACTACGGACGGATTTTTAAACATTCGCGGTGAGCTTGATACGCAATGAACGCGCAGACATTTGATGTTTACGAGTTTTTAACAGGGGACGCGGGTTCTTCCGCGAACGAAGCGCTCTACGGCGCGTCGCACAGTAGTTGAAACGAAACTCAAAGCGGCCAGGTCAGTCTTTCGTGCCAAGGAATAACCAGTGGCGTGGCATGCGTTGCTATAGATCGATTGATCTGCTACTCTAACTTATGGAGAAGGATCGATAAACAAAGGTGTTCGCAACGAACACTTCAATAATCGATTCTTTACCATAGCTTTAAATGGGGAAATATCGATAGTTAAGCGTTCACGCCTCACCACTTGACAAAACTTTGTATGGACATCAGGACGTTGCTAATTTTCTTTTGAAAAGACGCAAATTCTCTGGAGAGTTGTCATCATTCTTCGCGAAACTTTTCAAAGAATTGCATTTGCGATTCAATTGATTGCTCCTAGATGAATCTAAAGATCCATCATTCATAATTTTTCTCAAAAAGAAAGAAATTTCCCCAAAAATGTTGGCAGTATTCAAATGCTCAACACAGTGTTCTTCCTCGGCACGGCAGCATTCCTTGAGTCTTATTATTATGCTATAGTACACCTTTACCTGTCAAGAAAAATGGATGTCTTGCCGTTTTTCTAGAGTATTTTTTGACGCACAGCAATACATCTTGAGTATAGAAATAGTCATGAATGAGTTTGCTGATTACAAGAAATTTGATCACCAGATTGCAACATTATAAACAGCTTTTGTCAATACTGATTTAAAACACCACGCAGTAAATTCTTGGTTCTATCGTAATTTGCAATTGACACGCGACTTACATATCGATGGTGAAACTACCAAACCACGTATCTCGGTTTGCGACGTCGCAGACTTCCTGTCATACTTTATTTTTTAAATGAAAAACTACGTAATGTCCAGTCTTGAGAATTTCTGTGATTTTTCCTCTTTGTGCGAAGAAAATTCTGTGAAAATTTCAAGGAATGATATTGATTTGGTCTATTTCAAAAAAATAAAATGTGAGCGTAGATTTTTAAACACCGCAAACGAGATACGTGGTTTGGTAATTTCACCGTCGATATTGAATTTTACTGCATTTTCCCCTACAGATTCGAAAAAAAAATTACCGATAAAAACAGCTGAGTCCTATACTTGAAAATCATTTTCAAAAGAATCACAGTAAACTTCATTATCGCAATTTGTATGAGGATTTGATGTCGATCTTTCCAGAATGAAAGGTCCAGTCCAACAATATGTCATAAGACATCTGTAAAGGACATGATTGATGATTTTGATTTCAAGTAGAGGAAGATGAAAATTTATTTACCGTAAAAACGGATCGTTAAAATTTCGCATTCTCAATTTTAGTCATTGATCTCCAGTTCAAACTTTCCTAGACTTAAGGCCGCGTGTATTTTCACTTTTTTCGGAATCAAAATGTTGATGTTAAAACTGATCCTTTTAAAGGGGAAAATTTAGAATTCTGGCGCTAAATTTTAAAGAGCAGGTCATTTCTTAGGAAAGGAAGTTGGCACCCTTTTGTCAGACTCGACTCTAGCTATACACTACGAGAGGATAAAGAATTATACTGATACATTTTGGCTTTTTACTGGTATACGTTGAAAATGATAGTTGAATCTTTACAGGTGCAAGTAAAACATCAATGAAATAAGTAGAATCTCTATACTTATTTTCGGCAAAATGATAAAATTAAAGATATAATTGGACATATTTAACCACAGGGAGCCTAATTATATCAGATGTTGCCTAATTTCTTCTCATATTTCCTTTTTTAAAAAACGAAAAGGAAACGAAATCAAAATTTGGCGTTAAATGATGCAAGTATATTGTCCATAACGTAAGGAAAATTTACAAACGGTTTCTAGGCGTTAGGTTGTTTGGCACTCAGTTGAAAATGTTAAATTTAAGAAGAAATTAGGCAACGCGAAATACAATTACGTTGATTCTGTTTTAATTCGTCGAGCTGATATTTGTTTGAGTGAAAATCCAGCTGATATTAGGACAAGCTTTTGATTTTGCGAAGTTTAACTTCTTCAAAACTAATCACAGCATTTAAAAAAATCAAGGAACGGAAAATGATTATTTCTTTGAAATCATTAATAGTATCCAAATTCTTACCGATCACAAAGAGCCCTTTTGGGCGACAATGAAAAATTGCACTGTTTTGGGCAAAATTCCTCATTTGATATCAGTAGAAAATTCTAAAGATATGAGGAACAGTCCTACTGATGCTTGTTGGCCAAAACTGATTGTGAGCAGCACCATTTTCAAAAGGATACCCATGTGGAGCTACGTTTTATATCTTAGTACACACTCTCCAACTCCATTCTCAGCGAAATTTTCTATACCTATTATGTCTCTGTGCTCCAACGAGCTATTTTTCTCAATACTACGAGTATCGCATGTATACTGGATTCTAACGCTTCTTCTCCTTCTTCTTCCACTAACGACTAGGGCATAGCCCTGTTTGTCAGGCCATCCAGTATCGAGCACAATAAACTATAGAAATATTAAAAAACTAAAAATCATCATTAAAAATAAAGGACTCGTCTAATCTGTTAGACCAACATAAATCCTTCAATCATCCTCAAGAGAAACCTAACGCATGTCGGAAAAATCACTAGTTTTCTGTTTTTTAATTAGGTTCTAGCACTCAACCCATGTGTAACTTATACGCTTTATATCTTAGTATATACATTCCAACTCCATCCATATAGCAAATATTCTGTATACCTGTAGCCTGTACCATAGCCCTGTTTGTCAGGCCATCCAGTATCGATCACAATAAACTACAGAAATATTAAAAATCTAAAAATCACTTAAATTAAAGGACTTGTCGAATCTATCATAACAGCATAAATCCTTCAATCATCCTCAGGAGAAGAGAGCCAGAGAAGAATTCTAACGCACTTCGAAAGAATCACCAGTTTTCTGTCTTTTAATTAGGTTCTACACTGGAAAAAACACACATTGGATCGAGAGTCGAGACTCTTAAAAACATCGACAAGAAAAAATACTCTTGATTCAATCAGATTTAAACTTAAATCAAGAACCAAGCCTCTTAATTTGAGCGGATTTCCTTTTGATTTAAGCTTAAATCTGCTTGAATCAAGAGTCCTTTTTCTCATCAATGTTTTCAAGAGTCTGGACTCTAGATCCAATGCGTTTTTTTTTTCCAGTGTAGCACTCAATCCATGTGTAACTTATACGCTTTATATCTCAGTATATACATTCCAACTCCATTCATAGCAAATATTCTGCATACTTACCATGTCTCTATGCTCCAATGAGCTCTTTTTTCCCGTTATATTAGCACTTTACATATACTGAATTCTAACGCATATCGGAAAAATCGCCAGTTCTCTGTCTTTTAATTATGTTCTAGGACTCACCATTTTGACGTGCGTGTCCTGGATCCGCTGGTCGATCTAAGAGGGGTTCGGGCGCAACATCGCAGGCGGGAGAACGAGAACGAATTCGTAGCACTGGCGACGAGGGTGGAAGCGGTACGTGGTGGTGAGATAGCCCCGTCCGCAAGACTGGCGCAAAAGGGCGCCTTGGCATCGATCAAGGGCGCCCGCCGTAGTCCGCGGATCCGTCCAGAGATGGCGACGCCGGCAACGATTCCGACTCCACCTCATGAAAGCTCGCTTTATTCAATTTACCGAGTTCCCGGTGACACTCCGTTATATCACACACGCACGTGACCTTTTTCGCGGAGCCAGCCGTCAGGTTCCCCCGCGCCGGTCCCGTGAAAATTGAGCGGTTCCGGTGATGAATGAGCTGCGAATTCTTTGTCTCTCCCCGCCAAAATTTCGATGATTGTGACCGACCACCGGAAATGAGTCGTATAGTGCCTTCGTTTTAGTCCGGTCGACTCGGGTCTTCAGGGTTGTGCCCGTAGGGCGTTCTGGAAAAACGGAAACTCCCAAATCATCTATCTCGTTTGCCGCACTGAAATAAAAAACTCTCGGTGTATTTACTAAGAAAAGGGTAAAATTACCAAGAATTCACGGTTCTATCCGATCCCAGTTTGTTCTTGGTAAAATTACCATTTATGGAATTGCTAATTTTACCGAGAAATCTCGGTAAAATTATTGAACTTTCTCGGTAATTATACTGGACCTTGGTAAAAACGCCAATATTTTTTATCGACTGTGGTAGAATTACCGAGATAAAATGGCTAAGTTACCGGGAATTGATTACCAATAAAAGTGATATTCTTACCTGAAAAAAAAAACAGTAAAAATACCGGTTTTAAGGTTAGCTTACCAGTCTGTATTGGTAAAATTACCAATAATTGGTAAAAAAAAGTGAGATGGTAAAGGTACCAACGGACCTCGGTAAAACTCGGTAAAAACGATTTTTTTTTCAGTGCGTGTTTCAAAATTTTCGCCTTTCCTTTACTATGTTGAAGGAGAACAAGTCAACATTATCCCTTGAAGTTTTAACAACATTTTCTACGCCCAGAGAAGATAAAGCAAGGAGGTTTTAAAGAATTGACGTTGAGTAGTTCTTCATTTCTCTATTTCTATACTATAAGCTCTCAAGCCTCTTAAATTTTCATTTCTGGTAACGCTCAGTTCTAGAATTCTACCCATCCGATTTTCATGATTTTTGCGGTTATCGACAGGTAATTAATAGCCTCTAAATGAAGCACAGACCATCCAAAAGCGATGGAACGCTTCCTTCCATTCGTTTCGTTTCAGCCTTGGCGATTAGTTTGAAATAAAATGCCGATGTTCATATTTGATGCTTCTTAGTGAAATTGCTCCCAGCCAGAGGAAGATTGAACCAATGAGAGTCGAGTAGGAAACTCGGCGTTTTTGTACTTGACTTCTCCTCGCTCCTATCTTTCCCAGGTTTCAAGTTTTCCCAAAACGATTCACACAGGAGGAAGTTCGGAAATGGACTCCTAAATGAGATATCAACAAACATTTTAACATAGTTCAAAAATGGGAAAAAGATTATACAAATGACGTCTCGTGTATTTGTGCCATTCAATCATTGTAAATTGTAATGTGTAACTTTAAACATCCTCACCTCGTTTAGTAGTTGATTCTCAGATTTCCTATTGTGTGATTCTTCTTCCTTGTAAAGTTTTGAAGAGACCTTAAAAAAGAACGTTTAAACGTTAGAGCGTTAAAGTTGAATTATTCAGCGTTGAACGTTGAAGTTATTCAGTTCAGGAGGAGACCAAAGTGTCCAAAAGAAGAAGACTAAGCAAGACAGGTTGTGACAGTCTTTGGATTGCTCAAATACGAGCAGTAAATGACGAGAGTAAAATGTCCTGCAAGTTGAACTTTGCCTGGAAAGTTATGAAAACTTCAGGGTCTGGCAAGAAAGTTTCTTCCTCCAATGCTAGTATCCGGATTATGAAACCGCCGAGCTGAAAGGGGCACATGAGCAAAGGAAAAACGGAATAGTCAACCTAGTTTCGTTAGATGAAAGTAGTAAAAGAAAAAGATAAAGCTATTAAGATGACTAATCACTGTTGGTGGACTTAATTTTCTCCGCAGCTCAATAGAAAGGAAACTCTTTCTCTCAGGTAGTGGCAATGCTAAGGGAAACAATTACTGTTACGACGGATGATCCATGGGTAAAAAACTCGGATTTCCGGTTTCTTTTCAGTAAAGTTTTTGAGACGTGCATCGAGAACCATAAAAAAAACTTGCTGGGAAAATCTTCAAAGCAGTTGGCGTGTAAGAATTATTCAAATTAGCCAACTCGTCGAAAAAATGGGAAAATATATGCATACATATGGACTACATTTTGGAATTCGGAATCTTTATTTCAAGCTCATCTGTGATAGCACTTATCTGCATTGGGGAACTTGTTATACATATGCTGTTTTTTTGTATGAGTCAGAAATAGTAGTTTCTTATCGCATAGATTGTAGTTCATGTGACCGTACATGAAAAACGGGACAGAAGTCCCGTCGCTTAGAAATACACAGAAGAAATACACCCCCAAGAAATACACATCGAGCTATTGCTACTGAATCGTGGAATATCATACAAACATTTTGGGACAAATCACTCCCGGAAATGTCAAACCAGCTGGATTTCATAGAGAAAAAAAAGGAGGTGTTTGCATTTCGGGCATCTTGGAATTTTTTGATGACTTGATGACGTAGGTGGGTACAGTGTGAAGGGGACGTCCCTGTACCTAGCTGTACCCGCACCTACGTCATCAAGTCATCAAAATATTCCAAGATGCCCGAAATGCAAACACCTCCTTTTTTTTCTCTATGGCTGGATTTATTACAGTTTGAATTTTGCGGTTCAAAATATGGAGTGAGGCAACTTTATTCCAAATGTTTATCTCCTTTTTTTAAAACCCTACGGCTTGCCGGATGAAAATGTAAGAACACAAATGTTACATTACGTCAAAGAAAAGAACGCCTGATTTAGTTACCTTTGCAAAAATTATGAATACAAAAGCGAAAGAATCGATTTACCAGAATTCGATCCGTTCAAACTTCCAAACACGCCGGGAGTCTGATTGCTACTGAAAATATTGATGGAGTTTATCGTTTCGACGTTTTGAGAGTTTTGCTCAGTTGCAATGCCTAGGAATATAAATGATATTGTAAATGAAGAATTTATCTGGAAATGTACTAGTTTTAAATATATTTGGCAACAATGCTGATCCAAGTTTCTGAAGAATCAGACTTGCGCATAGGCCTTAGTTATCGAGTGCCGTCGTGATCAGTGATTTGTATCAAGGTGGTTTACAGAATTGAGAAATTGTAAAGTATTCATGGTTTTTTTATTACTACTCCAAAAACCACACAAGTGGTAATCCTGGGTTTTTTTTAGCCAGAGCCGCTCCCCCTCAACCCTGAACACAATTTGGATTATACAAACAGCCTGGGGCAATTGCACGGGAAAAAATAAATTGAGGATCTAACATTTTTCTAGTTAAAAGAAGTGACTGAAATGTTTCAATGTAAATTTTACAATTAAAAAATGCTAATTTAACCCCCCCCCGGTTAAATTAGCTTCTCACTTTTGTGAAAATGTACATTTGAAACATTGCAGCTACCTTTCCTTAACAATCGAATTGTTAAAGCGGCAATCCACTTTTTTCCGTGTGTTGTTTGAGACCATCAAATTCGGGTCGCCTAGCCGAAAATCGAACTGAGACCTCCTGCGCGGTCGCTGGTAGGCAAGAAAAGTATATCAGCGCCTACAAGAGTGTGGGAATACTTCACGCATTGCGCCTAAACGCAGCGCGGCCGCTGCGCCCGCTGGTCGGCGTGGAAAGCATATCAGCGCCTGCTAGACTGTAGGAATACTTCACGCATTGCGCCAAACACAGTGCTGTCGCGCTGGTACGCGTGAAGTGAAACGCATATGGATACTTCTCAAAATCAATATTTTTGAGATCTGTCGAAGCGAGAATATTTTCCTTGCAATAAAATTTGAAGGTTAGACGATGAGATTGCATTTTTTGTTCGATGATTGTGTTTCTCCCCCATTTCATAAGAATCACAAGACCCTCTCATTTATCGAGCAATTTCTTCGGCCTCCGATGTAAAAAACGTAGATTTAGAATTTTTTGCCGGCTTTTTTGATACAAAATTTGGAAAGAGCAGATCAAATTACCTTAGAAATCATTATGTTTTGAACGATATCTAGCGGGAGTTATCGATTAAGCGCCGCTAGAGACACTTTCTGGCCCACTGTGCTCCTGGTTACAGAGCCAGCGCCGCACTAAAGTGGGCCGACATTTTCGGAAGATAAGAGATTTTGAGCATCCCCGGATTATTGGTATCGCAGGTCATCATGAAACCCACAGAGAAAAAAAGGAGGTGTATGCATTTCGGGCATCTTGGAATTTTTTTGATGACGTAGGTCGGTACAGCGACGTTTATCATCGATTTTCTTGGAAATGGTGTAATTTATGGAAAAAAGTCATTCTATAAAAAGTGCTTGAAATTACATCATGAGTTGATTTAAGCAAAAATGGGACATTACGGTCCGTTTTTCATACTTCGAATTCCGGATTTTGCTGGCCAGGTTGTACCGACCTACGCCATAGGGTAAACAAACCTCAAGATGCAAACACCTCCTTTTTTTTCTCTATTCATGAAACCAGGCAGGGAATACTTCACAACCTAAAATGGAGTCTGAATGCAAAAATTTGGTGGGAAGGATTCCGAAGAATATTTCAAGCAGAGCCCCTGAATAAGAAGGGAGACGTAACCTTACACCGAAAGAAAATTATTAATGTCTCATTTTTTATAAATAGTGGTCATCTACTTGACGCTCCGTTCCAAGATCTACAGCCACCAACAGGACGCTCGTATCCTAGTTTCAACGATGATCTTTCAGAAATATTTTTACATATTTTTCACCGGGGTACGGACATTCCGCGCTTTTAATCTAACATAATGAAATCAGCCCGAGTTATGAGAAGGCTCATTTTTTAGGCATAAAAAGGCGAGCCAAATTTGTCACCATGATGACAAAAGAGCGTTACTTCATGCCGAGATGAGCCCTGTTGCCCCCGTTAGTTCCA